ATCGATATTAAAATTTCAAGAAAGTCGACAGAAGAGAACTCTGAATACACAGAATTTACAATTCCGGAATTTCAGACTAATATATCGCAGTCGCTGATGACTGAAGGTTCATAGTTTTCTAAATCCGTATTGATGGTCTCCAACGACCATCGCTTATGAATTGGAATCAAGCTAAAATTATAATAAGCCTCCAATTATTTGTGTTGACAATTTGTGATTTGGGATATACCCCCTTTAGGTTTTTTAGGCAAAAATGGTAGTTTCCCAGTCCGTAATATCACAAATAAACTTAGTGCCGATTTGTAAATACATCTAATACCCCCTCCAATTTGATTAAGTCTTGAAAGGAAAACGAAATTAATTGGAGAATGCCTCATTCAGTTTAGATCACTTATTTCACATAGTGAGCAGTGAAGTAAAATTACAATTTAGCAAATTCAAGAATAGAACCAACTTAAAAAAATTTGATCTAAAGAGAAGTGCGGATAATGAAGATGTCACTATATTTTCCAATTCACATTCTGCTTGCCAACATCTAAAAATTCAAATCTTCCTTCTATGTGAAACAATCGTAAACATAGCAATTTAATCATGACATAGTTGTACAAATTTCAGAATGTTAACAAGGAAGAAGGGAAAGTGATTGTTTTTTTTCCCATCAAATTATATTTTATGCAAATCAACTAATGGCACCATACTACTTTGTTCGTTTCAGCATTCAGATAAAAACATACATCAAAACTGTAATGTACACTATTGATAATATTACAAGTGAAGGGAACAAATGGAGAGATGAACCATAACAAAAACTCTTTCAAGATTTCAAAGCAGTAAACTTATAAAATGACATGCCTGGTAAATATACATCAAAGACATTTGCTAGTTCTTGACAGATTTAAACAATATATATACTGTGTATTATGTATTAATCTGGATACTCTCATTACAATGAAGATGTATATTATGGATCAAAGAATTTTTTATTAAAAAATGATTAAAGACATGAAGCAAAAGCCGATTCATCAAAGACCAAAAATAACCACCGTAAGATACATAATAGACTCACTTAAAAGATTAGAAAAAAATCTAGAGTTAAATTCAATTACCGAACACCGTTTAAAGCGAAACATAACACTAAATACTGAACAACGTCTAAAATCAAAATATCAGATCAGAAGAGTAATGGAAAGGGCTAAATATGATAAAAAATATCTCGAAACATATGAAATGGGAATCATTCTCTCCGCCTTGTTTTTACACGTGCTCCACTGGTACTTTCACTGTCATCGATTGTGTGGCCACTTACATCAGATGTACGCTTTCGCTCTGAACGTGCTGATCGGTTACTCTGAAGAACACCATTTTTGCTTGGACATAAGCAGTTTATTAACTAGAATTTGAAGATTCAATCAAAAAGAAAAAAAAAAGTCATCGCAAGAATGCGTGGAAGAAAACGAAAATCTGAAATCTAAGTTTTCTTATTAACAGCGTTTATCACTATAGATCAGAAGGGAAATGGGAATTTATAGTAGCATTCATTTTAGCGAGAAAGCATAAGGATGGGGAAGCATATGAACTACTTGCACTTTACATAGATAATTTTTGCACAAACCCGGGAGTTATAACAGCAAAAGATCCCCACATCCAATTTAATGTTTTGCTAAACAAAAATTAAAGAGCCAAAATATTTATGCCTTAGCGATGCTGAAAATATGTAAAAACTTTACCGATGTTGAACAGGTTGGAATATTCCCCCAGTTTGACTGTAGATACCTTAATAAAAGTGGTTTCATATCAAAAATTATTCGTTTTTCATCATCTGTTTGTTCAGAGATACGAGCCACCACCGGCTTTCCATTCTAAAAAAGAAAAAAGAAATTAAAATCCAATTCTTAACTTCTAGTATTTCTCTTCTTTATGCAAGCATCTTTATGCAAAACCAAAATGCTTCAGCATCACTACAATTAAATATTACAATCCCAACAAAAACTAAAACTTAAAGCATTTGATAAAGCAATCACAGGAAAGGATTTTCCTGATAACTTCTTTCCCTGAAAAATGCAAAACAGAAAAATGTAAACTGCAGTTAGACCAAAACACAGAAATAAATTGAAGAGCCGAAACTAATTTTCACATTATCTCGTGGACAGCTGAACACTATAATCATTCCGCGGTACCTTGTAGCGTAAATTATTTCTAAGATTAAATATTTACCATCAATCAGTAAACAAAGATTTTATTACTTGTTTCAAAAAAGATGAAAAATTGGCTTTGTCACGCGAGGGTAAATCCTTGAGAAAATCAGCAATGGACATTTCCTAAAAACCAAGAAGTTAATCAACTGTAGCAGACAGTCACTTCGATTAGCTTGTGACAAGTAAATATTTAAATGACAAATGAAATCGAAAACACAATCACTGCAGTAGAAAATGCTATTATGTGATCAGTGCAAATCATATACTAATATGTAATAGCAATCTAACTGTTCAAAATCTATCGCTGCCTTACGGAGTTTGTTTTTTCGTAATAGAATGAAATGAAGTTTCTCGGTATCTCTCCCGCTTGGAAGCTATTATGTTTTTGGCTTGAACCATTCACTTTCTGGAAGACTTCAGAAATGCAACATTCAAACTAACAAACGAAAATCGAATTAATGACATTAATAAAGTCCTGTGACTGAAAAGATCATACCAATCATACACGGGAATTTTGTGACATTTTGAAAAAGTATCCTGGAGGACGAAACCACAGAAGAACATCAAACCTACACAAAAATTTATTGAAAGCAAGACATATTATCAAATCATAGTATGCCAGTGATGAAGCCACAGATTCACAATGATGATAATTTTCATAAAATACATAAGAAAAATGTCACTGACTAACGCCTACTATTAATTATTGAGAATGGTAGTTTCTTTATCTCCACTAGTTAACAATAGACGGGAATCATTCACAAGTTTTGTCCCCACATATTTGCCTTGCATAATGAATTTTGACTATTTCATATTATTTTGATCAAAGGCAGTTTGTTGAAGTTGTCTACGATTACAGTATCTATGAAACATTCTAGACAAGTTGTGATGAAGTACATTGCCGAAATTTAAGCCCTAAAAAATAGACTAAAAGCCAAGCAAATAACTAACTTTTTTCCTCCACTTGAACAACTCTCAGATTTAACAGTTAAGAAGCTTAAGAAAATCTATATTATCGAAAATCCATATTATACTTGTTCAACTCTGTGAGAAGTTAATCGATATCCTAAGTAGTTAACGGTTTTGTTCCTATAATCGAAACTACTCAATTGATGTGATTCCAAGTTCCTGTCTGTATTCGAAAAGCCTAGCAGAAGTTTAGACCAGAAAAACCACAATAATTCCAGTAGAATTCAATTGTACAACTTGGAAATTTAAAACTCTCAACATGCTTATAAATGGCTCCATTATTTAAATGTAAAATCAGAACAAACAACGCAAAATTCAGCAATCATATTGCATGAAAACATCCTAACCTGATCACAAAATACCAATCAAAAGTCATTCACCATTCCAAGCTTGATCCTGCCTTCTTCTCCAGGTTTGAAGGGCGGCAAACCCCAATACGGGCACGTTGAACAACGGAACGCATCACCAAGACCACACTAAAAGTAAAACACAAAATTTCGACTTATTCCAGGATTTTAAAAATCTTTTATATTTTGGAACTGCAATCTCAAACTTTGAAATAAAGCCAGCTAGCATCAATTTTATTTATAAAAAATGAGCTGTCGTAGCATAACATGGATAATTAAAAACTAACATTTCCACATGCTGATCTGCCAGGTTTTACTTGTGCTGTGACTTTTTCAGATTCTGCCATCTCAGCCAAGCCACATGTACAGTTTTTACATGGCCTTCGTTTCTTCATTTCACTCGAAGGATTGAACTTCCCTTCGAGATTTCCTAAAAATCTTATTTTTCTACACAAACACCAAAATATTACACGACGTCCAACAAATATCTAATAAAAGGAAGCAATTGAGGACGACACCGAGACATTTTCCATATTTACCTTTTAGCGTTGCCGTAGTGGGTTTGACATAATCTTCTTCTTGTAACAGTGTATCTTCATCAATCAAATCATCATCAACCACATTTACGTTCCATACATTTGATTCCTTACTTGAACGAGGCAATTTCAAAGGTACTGTGGCACCCACACTGAAATTTGGCTGCAAAATAATAATATCAGTCAGATTAAAATTAGCTCGTTGTTCCTGCTAAAGAGAAACATCCATAAATGTTTGAAAAGTAGGGGGGAGGGATATCCTAAAATGGAGACGACAGTTCAGCTGTCACGGTACATAACGACTGGTATATTTCAAAACATAGTGACACGTAACATGATTCGAGCAGTACGGAGTATGGAAAAACAAGCTACAAGAGTTGCTACGACAGAGGACAAGGATTTTCCAGAACAAGAAGACAAGGGTTTTCCAGAAATTCCAGAACAAAAAGAATCTGTGGCAAGCAGGAGAGAGATTAAAGTTATTGGCGAAGACTTTTCAAAAAACAGCGCTTTATAAATAGTTGAATTCTATTTTCAATAACTTTAAATAAAACCTTTTCACAATTATATGCTTCCCATACACCATAACCAACTTTCATGACACGCAGAAATCCAGCTAGCTTAATCTCCCGCAAAACTTTTACTTCATCAACGTCTGAAAACGCCCAAGGTGACGAATACTCCGCAAGGATATGCAGTAATTGGAATTAAAAAATAAGCAAAATGGAGCTAGTGGGTCGTGTAAACTTACTTCGCACATTTAATCCCACTGGACAATTAGGCTTCACTGCTAGAAAAGCCAATCGAAGTAAGCGTTCAAGTGCAGCACCAAATGTAACAATCATAACAGCATCATATATTTCCTCTTTCGTATCTACTCCTAAAAAATTAGTGGAACATCACTGAACGAAGATTTAAGTGTATTACAGTTATATAATGTGATTGATACTAGTTTTAATTAAAAACTTTTATTGATATTCCATTCAAAATCTTCGAATGAAAAGCCGTACATGAATGAATTTAATTTCAGGTCTTACTTGTTTTTATTTTGTTTTGATTTTAGATTTTATTTTCTTTCAGGTTTTATTTGTTTCAGGTCTTAAAATAATCCAAATCAGAAAATAATACACAACGCAACTCCCTCGTGTATCATTTTCTGATAAGATTATTTAACTTCTGAATCTTTTACGGGCTTCATTTTGAGGTGGTTCACGAAGCATACTATTTTCTTTAATGATTTCAGTACCTTCGAGCATGTAAGTCCACATTTAAGTGTGAAATATTAATGATGTTCAGTAGTAGATAACGAATAGATAGCAATAGTTAAAGTGCAAAAAACATAGTAGACGACCAACCAATCTGTTTATCTTTTGGGATAAGCACAGTTACTGTCTTGAATCGCGCCTTGAGCTGTTCCATACTCATATTAAAATTATCGGGTAGCTCTGGAAAGAAAGAATATATAGCACATTAAACGATACAGTAAGATAAATGACTCATTGATTTATTAAGGCGGCTGCCATATTCAAAATAACTATAATCTACAATTTCGCATTACAGTCCAAACATGGAAAGATCCATAAAATATCTAAGTATGAAGACAACCACAAAATATATCGCTGAGTTTCTGGTTTGTAGTAAAAGCCAAGCAAGTTTTTTTCAACTTCCCAACTCTCTAATTTTACATTATATTCGAGCATTTACATCATATCCAAGGAAATTGAAAATTTCAATTTCTTTGTTCAACAGCCTTGTCGCAAGTGACGGTAAAAAACAACTCCAGAAAATTTAAGTTGGGAAAGCTATGCTCGGTATGCGTAGGAGGCAGCATAATGTCTGGATATGCAACAAGAGTTAAGATTTCAAGTGAAAAAAGGTAACGCCTACATAAGAAGGCGCAAGACACAGCACTGTTAATTTGCTTTACTGCATCAAAGATTGGACCGAAATGATGGGCGTTAAAAGATCGAAAATAATACCCATTCTCTGGTTTTACTACGAAAAAAATACGCTACCTTAATTGAAACAGTAACCTCAGATAAAATAAACCAACCTTCCGTATTTGCATCCTGAAGGAATAGGATTTCTGAACTCGAATCAGCTGTACTGATGAGAAGACTCAAATCCATCTCAAGATCAATAACTGTTAGGATGGCAAAAATCTACAATTTAAATAGCACTAGGAATGACAAAGAATTCTGAAATCACTGCTAGCTTCAACTGGAAACAAGTGTCGTGTTTTGTCGTCTAAGGTCCTTTAATTTTGATACAACAGAAAGTCTAAAATTCAACAACTAGAATTGGAAGATAGAAATCGAAGAATATAACTTATGGAGCGCAGGATGTTGTAATCTTCAGTACATAGGATCACACTACCGTTTAAGTGAACTAATGAGAAGTAAAATGGTCTAAAAAAGGTTTATTTACGCAAAAAACAAAATGATCTTAATACGGAAAGGTTAAAACAATTCATAATCTGCATAATTCTAACAACCAATAATATTTTACTGTAAAAATCAAAAACAATGGCTGCAATAAAATCAAAATGCACAGAAAATAGATGAATATTCAAAAGGACTGAAGAAAGCTTAGCTAAAATTAGTGAGGATCAATTGGTGATCAAGTATCATTTGCCGATAAAAAGAAATATTTGAACAAAAGATTATTGCATTGTTTATCTATAGGACATAATAACAATATCCTGAAACTCACAAAAAATTCATATAATATATATTACAAAAAAAGTATAACGAACGGACTAAAAGTAATAGCCTCGCAGAAAGTCCTGTGGACGAGAATTATCCCTTTGCTTGTAAAGAAACCTTGAGAAGTGGAATGGCCAATCTACAGATAGTATGAAATTTGATTTTGATTACTCTGCAGAATAACCCTAATGAAACTTTTTAAAGAAAACAACATTTCTTTTGAACTAAATAAAGAGCATTATGCAAATCACGGATGTATTAAATTATAAAACCAATCAAACAATGTAACTGGAATATTTTCGAGATGACTGATCTCATCTAATTAAATCTTCCCAAAGTTCGCTTAAATATAATTATTGATTTCCTGATAGATTGTGAGATGATTACGAACCAAATTTCAGCCAAGTTTTGGCAAAGACAAAATTTTTGAAGTAGGAACTGTCAGAAAATTTTTCTTCCAATGGGCAGTATTTCAAATGGAAATAGTATTTCAGATTAAGATAATTGGGAAAAAGTGAAGGGCTGAAAAACTTCCAACATCACACAGAAACTTTCAGCAGTATCCTACACATTTTCTAATTCTTTATTGTCATATTCATCACTTGCTTTCTACCACTATCATTACTATTTCCTACGTTCTTCTTCATCTGATCTTTCTTCTGAACAAAGGAATAATGTTCGTTCACATCCGCGACGCTATTAAAATTCAGCTGAACCTCTAAAACAATGCTTTCTATATCTTACATACTTTGCATATTTTTCATTCATTCCATCAGTTTCACAAGAAAGAAATATGTGAAATTAAAGTAGTAAATTTTTTGGTACGATAATGCAACAATAAATTAGAACGTAAAAAACCATCTTTTCCTTGCAACATTTGTAATAAAGAACTTCAAAAACCGAACCGAGAACATCTGGGGACTTCAGATTCCTTTCATTTTTGGCTTCAAATGATTGCTTTCCCGACTGTAGTGATGGCAAGAGAACTAGCTTGGTTGTCCTGAACTGAACCTTCTGAAAATCATTCCCAAAGAAATTCAAAATTAAACGTGAAAATGTCTTAAAAAGTAAGTCAGCAAACTGAAAAGTAATATGCTGATTCTTTTGTAAAACCAATTATGAAACTAGGAGTAAGTCTGATTATAGTTGCTTCATAATTCTTGAATTTTAGAAGAGCAACTATTGAAATACCATTTAACAGTTGGTAGAGACTACAACGACGGAACTGGTAAGAAAGACAGTCAAAATAATACATCATAACGTACGAGAGACTGAAACGATTGTAGCAGCATGAAAGTTATTACTTGACTTCATTACGGTGAAAACAATATGTTCCGGATCTCTAAGTGCAACAGGCTCTGGCAAGACAGCTTCTTGTTGGAACAAGTGAAATCATTTGTCAATCAGAATCATGAGAAAGGATTACGTTACTGAAATATGATATTACCATACTTATCAAGTGAAAATTCTGTCAAATAGACGTAATAGTAATAGTGTCTTTTGACAGCAACAACGCTAAATTTTCTTAATTACTTTAAAAAATGTAATTTTATACCGAATTATTCTTTTGTCATACTAATTTCATTTAAAAAATCAGATCTAATATCACGGACAAGGAAGCGTGAGTGGGGATACAAACGAGTAAGATCTGTCGAAATGCCCGAAGAAGAGTGTTTGAAGTCCAAACCGCATGTTGTAATATGTCGCGAAAATTCAAAAGAAAAAAAAGAAAAAAATCCACATTTGCTGCGAAAGCATTAGTAGATCGATTACTCTCAATTCTGTCTGCCATTTTTCCATTTTGAACTGAGATACTTTTGTGTCTCCCTGGTTCATTAGCACCCTGAGTTATCATCAATGGCGAAACAGTTAAACTGGCCTTCTGGGAAATGCTTCCTTGCACATCTTTTCCTTGCAATTGCACTTTCAAACTAAATTAAACTGATGGAAGAAACAGTATTTACAGAAAATAAAGATAAAAAACGACAAACTTTCATTTGTTGATCAATAAGAAGTTCTTTATCCAATTGTCCATAAACAAAGTACTGTTTGTAGGTTCAGTGTAAGAAAGGCAGCCGTTTATGCATTTAAACAAATGAAACTTTTGTAGAGATTCTTTATTCAGCTTTAACTGCACAGTATTTGGCAGCAAGAATCCTGTCACAACTCGTATTGGGAAGGATTTAAAATCACAAATTTAAACGACTTTAATCCAAAAGAAAAAAGAAAAAACAAAACCTTTCAACAGTTTTTTTTGGTGCTTCCATCACACTTCTCATCGATGTAGAATTGGCTCGCAGAGCAGTAATTGTTAGCTTTGCCAGCACCTAAATTTTAGGAAGTGTTATTTTTATAAAGCTGATAATTTTTACGTTTTTATCTTCATAATGAACAGTCATCAAATTAAATAAATAAATAAACGATTCGACGAATAGTATTTGGTCCTTTCTTAAAGGTTTGCGCACATGCCCGCATGCAAGCATACCACCACTAAGGCGCAGGAACCAAATCAATCCGATGATTAATGAATTAGCCACACACCAATTCCGCTTTCGTCGAATCCAATGCAGTGAAACACGCGCCGAAGAATTAAATTAATTAAAAGATGTCAAATCATGAAACTTGACTATGTTCCGTATTTAGCAGCATCTCAAACACTCGCATTTAGGTAATTCATCAAGAATAAAAATGATAGAAGTTCTGTTGGTAGTTTCAAAACAGATGTCATATACGATTTAAGATAAATGAGAAAAATTTTTTCCTTTTAACTGGTAAACACATTTAGTAAACATATTCAACAGCTTAATCAGCATATGTATTGAGTTGAGAGGAGAGAATTGAGAACTGGCATCCTTATGTAGTTTCAAGCATCCTGATGTGTAACGAACCACTCCACTGGTAGGAGAGCTGCATTAATAGAACCTTCACTATATATAAGATTAACAATTTTAACTAATTAATCAGTCGTAAAACTACACTAAGACTATTTCGAAATCAGTCGTGAAACTATTATATTTTTTGTAGAATTGAAAAAAAAAAAACTAATGGAAAATAACAAACTTCTTATCGTCCTGAAGCTGTTTTAAATTCATCATGTAGAATGACAGGGCATTATCCTGCTTCGTTAATTTTCGACTGCATTCTAAAAAGACCAATCCATCAACACATTACAGTTTGTGCAAAAGTGTATATATTTTGGGGGGGGGGGGGAGAGGGGTAACTTCAAAAGAAGTAAAAAATCCTAAAATTATCACAGTCATTTTAAAACATTACAATGCATTTGTCAAATCTCCACCTATCCTTCCCAATTTCAGTCCAAAAAAAAAAACTTTCAACTCTCTAAACAAAGCTAACAAAAACAAATATTTGGAATTGAAGCTTTCTGACTCAAACGCACAGCTTGTAACTCATTTTTCAAACTGGCTTCCGAGCTTCTGCATTTTTCCAACTAAGCTTTAAAGTCTAAAAATATGAAGCACTGGTGAAGTTTCTGTTCTTCTTGGTAAACTTGAAAAATAATTTGTACAAACTCTGATTTAAAAAAATAATCACACGTTTAACTACTGTAATAAACAGCATTTCAAGCTAATAGAAGAGCAGAGCACGTTACAGTGTGATAATTTAAAATTAAACACTGAAATCCGAATCACTCAATTTAATTAAAATATGTCACATAACACATTAATTTGTACAAACCAATGTTCTCCGATTTCACTTTAATATGGCGACCCCTTTCAAGTTCAATCTGATTACGCATATCATATAGCTCGGCGTTTTGAGCTTGATAAATGTAGAAAATGAAGAAAAACAAGAGACCCGTTAAGAAACAGAATAATGGTAAAGTGCGGAATATCGATCCATTACTGGTCGCTGTAACGGGTCTGAAAATTTATAGCTTTTATTGAAATATAGGTATCTCCTGAAATTGTTTACTCAACCCTTAGTAGCTTTGGTAACCGCTAGACGAAGAATGATACAATTTGAAGTGCTGCTGAATACCATTTCACACTTTCATGTTTTGGTTTGGGGATACTCCCATGATACTGCTCGGAGAAGGGAAGTATTTGTAGGCGAACTATCAGCACCAAAATGAAACCACATAAGTCTGTATTCAAATTCATCTGAAAAAATCGATATTTATGAATGTGAAATCACGATCGACTCACCTCATAAATCCACGCCTTCGTCCATTATGCCCTGAATGCATTCTGTTATACTGCAGTTTCTAGCTTACAATGACTATAAAAGACAAGCTTAGAATTGCAATATCACTAGACTTATTCATCTCATCGCTGAAAGCAGTATTTTGCAAATTTGCGCTTGTGAAAATTACATCTGTAAATGCACTTAATTAAAATATTCTCAGAGCTTTCTGAAATGAACATTCTATAAAGATATGGTTATTGTGATCTGTAAAGACATGCTTATTGTAGATCAAAAACTTCAGATCTTCGACTTACATAATACTTATTGGAATATCGACAGCAAAAACCTTGCCATTCTCTTATAAGCATCCTCTTCACTTTGCATTATGCAGCAAATTAGACAACACTGGTAATGAAGCTGGTTATTCAGATCATTTGAGCCGTATAAGCTGAATAAGATATCTTAGCTTCACTTAAATACAATGAATTTACATCTGAGAGAGTAGCTCGAACTAGATGATGAGGTAAAATTCGGAAAACCATATGCTGTTGCTATCGTTATCCTTAACTCAACTCACTATCATCATTGCTAGCGCCGTTAACAATACAGCTGTAGTTATCACCATTACAACTAAACGTGTCATTTGCATATCTTTAACAGATTTGTCGAGATAGGATCATAAACCAAAATTAGAATCTATCAATTAGTGGAGCTTTTTAAACGTTGTAAAATGCTGTATGCATCATTACAGAATTAAGAAATCAATTGAATTATCAGGTTTAACTTCATTAAAATAAAGTAAGTACCATTTGCCATGCAAATAATGAAGTGAATAGTTTAGAGAGGAAAGGATGTGATATCCATTCATAGAAAATTAGCTCACGTTCATATTTATTAAATGATAAAATGGGAGAATCTCGTCGAAGAGAACAATCTGCATAATGAGAGTCCACTGAGAGGAACATGACAACTATATTACATGCATCTTTCAAAGTAATAAGTAGCAAACATTTAATTATCATTATGATTAACCAGTTAGTAATTAATTAGCTGAAACTTAACCTTTCCACTGCATGGAATGGAGAATGGGAGTGGAAGCTGTAAACATTTAACGAACCGCTGGGCAGAAGTTTCCTTCGGACGAGTGGGTTCTGTTCAGTGCCAATCACCGATTGGGTGGACGATGGTCATTCTTATATTTTCTTGTGTATATCATCACAGCGTTGTATTTTACCTCCGCTATTGCTGATTATACAGATGTATTACTGATGTGGCCTTATAAAGAAGCACTCGAATTTCAGTTTAACTTCCGGAAATTTTGTTAATTAATCGACGTTAGTTGACTTTAGTTAGTTGGTCAACATTTAAACTAATTAGTGGCCTCTTCAGTTAATCGATGATGTTGTCAGTACTAGGGGGAAGTGCAGCGAATGTCATCAAGACTGAAATGTAATAGTGTCCTGTTGCCATTTACCATTACTGTTCTTATTATCTTTATTGTTGTCACTGATATCATAATCAGCACCATTTTAATAACTATTAAAACCATTAAAATAACTCTTGCCATAATTTACCAATGAACGTAACATTTGTATGGTCCACGTGACGGCTTGAGCTAAAGTTTTAGAACCTAACTGCTCTGTCCAAGGATCTCTGAGTTGATGAGGTATATTTAAGCTTCGTTACTTATATATATATATATATATATATATATATATATATATATATATATATATATATATATATATATATAT